GTGCCTTTAGTTTTCCTTTCCTGAATTACAGCTGGCTAAGACTTCCAACAAAATTTTGAATAAGAATTGTAATAAAAGACATCCTTATCTAGTTCCTGTTCACAAGGGAATACTTTCATTTTCTCTCCAGTGAGAATAATGTTGTCTGTTTTTTTTGTGTGTGTTTTTTTTTTTTTTTTGCATATATGGCCTTAATTATATTGAGGAATTTTTCTTATATTCCTATTTTTCTCAGTGTTTTTATCAGGAATGTATGTTGTAGTTTGTCAAATACCTTTTCTGCATCAATTGATATGACTAGTGGTTCTTTTCTTGTTTTATTTATGTGGTGGATTACATTGATTGCTTTTCTAATATTGTAACATCCTTGCAATACCTTGTATGAATCGCAGAGTGTCATGATATATATATATTTTGGTATGTTGTTGAATTCTATTAACTAGGACTTTGTTGAGAATTTGTGTATCTATGTAACAACACGAGGGATGTTGTTGCTGTTGTTAAGTGCCATTTATTAGATTCTGACTCACAGAAACCCTGTATAGGGCCCACAAATCTTTGTGGGAGCAAAAAGCCTTATCTTTCTGCAGTGGAGCCACTGTTGGACTCAAACTGCAAACCCTGTGGTTCTCAGTCCAGTGTTCACCACTATGATACCACTCATAAGGGATCGTGATCTCTAATTCTAGTCTGTTTATTTGTTTTTAGTGATGTTTTTGCATGGTTTTGGTATGAGGGCTATGCTTGCTTCATAGAATATATATGGAAGTTTTTCAATCTAATAAAATAATTGTTAATAGTTTCATGGCACATAAGCTATCAATGGAGACAGTGACATTTTCATGGGCCTGTTAGTCTATTTTTGATAAATTGTGAACACAAGTAATGGTTTCTTGATAGGTAGGAAACCAAGAAGGCATAAGTTGTGATAAATTGATGGTATTTAATAAAATAATCACTTTGTATTTGTCTAAATTTTTGGTCTGGTTTACAGTTTGAAGTGTAAGGGAAAGAGGTTTCTTGAAAATTTGTTATTGTGAGTTGAGTGAAGATTTACAGCGCAGAACAGTTTTCCGTTCAACAATTAATAAACATTTTCTGTTTTGTACAGAGAGTTTTTCTGTCTCGTTATGCATATTTAGTAATTTTGGGTACAGTTTTTAAAATTTCTATAGCCTGCAAACAAGCTCTGACTCAGAGTGAACCTATGTTTAACAGATGGAAACACTGCTGAGTCCTGTCCCACCCTCATAATTGTTATGTTTGAACCCATTGTTTCTGTCACTGTGTCAGTCCATCTCATTGGGAGGGGCCTTTCTCTTTTAAACTGACACTGTACTTTACTAAACATGATGTCCTTCTCCAGGAATTGATCCCACCTTGACAACATGCCCAAGGTATGAAAGAATATCATCATCTTGGCTTCTAAGGAGCATTCTAGCCATTCTTCTTCCAAAACAGATTTGTTTATTGTTCTGGCAGTGCATAGTACTTACAACATTCTTTGCCAACACCATGATTTGATTTCACTGACTATTCTACTGTCTTCCTTATTAATTGTCCAACACTTTTATGGCATATGAAGCAATTGGAAATGCCATGGCTTGAATCAGACTCCTATTGATTCTCAAAGTGATATCTTTGTTCTTGAAAACTAAAGAGGTATTTTTGCAACAGATTTACCTAATGCAATATGTAATTTAATTTCTTATCTGCTACTTTCATAAGCCTTGATTATGGATTCGAGCACAATGAAAAATTTGACAACTTCAATTTGATCTCTGTTATCATGATGTGATTTATCGATTAGGTTGTGAGGATTTTTGTTGTCTTTACAATGAGATGCAATCCATATTGAGGCTGTAATTTTTCATCTTCATCAGTAAGTAGCAAGTCCTCTTTGTTTCTAGAAAGCAAGGTTGTGTTCTAGGAAGCAAGGTGTGTCAGCTACATATCTCAAGTTGTTAATGAATCTTTCTCCACTCTTGATGCCATGTTCTTTTTCATAAAATCCAGGGCCTCAGATTATTTGCTCAGCATACAGATTGAATAAATATGGTGAAAAGATGCAGCCCCGACACTCACCTTTCCTAATTTTGAACTATTCAATACCCCCTTGTTCAATTCAAATGACTACTTCTTGGTCTATGCACAAGTTCCTCATAAGCACAATTAAGTGTTCTAGAATACCCATTCTTCTCAACATTATCCATAGTTTGTTATGATCCACACAATCATGTATCTTTGCATTATCAATAAGGCCCAAGTAAACATCTTTCTTGTATTCTTTACTTTCAGCCAAGATACTTTTGATGTCAATGATGAAATCTTTAGTTACATGTTGTCTTCTGAATCCAGCTTGAATTTCGCCAGTTTTCTGTTGATGTATTGCTGCAACCATATCAGAATTTTCATCAACAAAATTTTACTTGAATGTGATAGTCATGATATTGTTGAGTTATTTCCATATTCTATTGGGTCACCTATGGAATGGGTATAAATATGCACATCTTCCAATCGTTAGACCAGACATCTGTCTTCCAAATTTCTTGGCATAGACAAGTAAGCACTTCCAGAACTGCATCAGTTCATTGAAATATTTCAGTTTGTATTCCATCGATTCCTTATTTCTCACCAATGCCTTCAGTGTGGCTTGGACTTCTTCTTTCATTACTATTGGTTCTTGATCATATTGTACCTCTCTTTTTTAAAAAAAGAAAACAAAACAGAAACTTTTTAATGTGAACTGAGTGAGGTTTACAGACAAGATCACCAGTTTTGCATTCAGCAAATTATACACTTTGTTTCATCTCAGTGATTACAATCCCCTCCCTGAAACAACATTTATCATACTTCCTCCCTGTACTCCCCATTTCCACCTT